GGCAGGAAAGAAGACACCAAGCAAATATTAGATGATCCCATGAAAGGTGACTTGTAAGATGATTAGATGATACCATGAAAGGAGACTTGTAAGGTATTTAAATATCAGATATTTCAGTTCATCACACTGCTGATAAGGAATAAAATGATAAGCACAGGATCTTAGAAGAATTCTTCATGACTGCCTCTCTCAAAGAACCAAAGGTTTTATTTTCCTTTTCCATATTCAAAACTTTTGTTTTAGACCATGTGTATTTGTTAACCTATGAAGCTTCTGGACTGCAACAAAGTATATCTATCACTGATCCATTGTATAAATTGGAATCATTTGACTTTTTCTCACAAGACATTCTTCAGAGTGCCTCTTCTTCGCTTGTGGACTGGGTGTGGAATGAACTTGAGGATTCAGAGTAAAGAGTCTCAGGGAGCCCACAAGGTTTGCATAATCTTTTTGTCAAGATACAATTCTTGAAGAAAAGTTTGATATATTTTTTGAATTTTTGCCCCATAAAGAAGTAGATAACTGGATTGAGACAGCAGTGAAAAAATGCTAGAGTCTGAGTCACTTGATCTGCATAGTCCAGGTTTTTGCTGATACTGCAACCGCTAATAATACCAACATCAACAAAATATTGCAGGAGAAGTACAATATTGTAAGGGGTCCAGAACACAAAAAACATAATCATAACAGCAAAGATCATCTTCACGGCCTTTTTTTTCTTTTCATTTCTGCAGTGCATTAAGTTCTTAACAATCTGTGTGTAGCAAAATAACATGACTATGAATGGTATAAGGAGGCCCAAAATGTTGGTTTCTAAAGAGACAAAAAGTTTCCATGTTGTGTTATGGTATATAGACTTGCATGCTGTATGGTTATATTGGCTCACAGATTTGCTAAATATCAGCTCTGGAAAAGAACCTGTGATGGCCACTAGCCACACAATGAGACTAGCAAGAGTGCCATAGCTTACAGTTCTTGCTTTCAAAGCAAACACAACATGAACCACAGCTAAATACCGATCAATGCTCATGAGCATGATAAAAAAGATCCCACTGTAAAATCCAATTCTGTAGATCCAAGAGATTACTTTACACAAACCATCTCCAAACACCCATTCATCGGCCACAAAATAAGACCAAAAAGGAAGAGCAAAAACAAAAAGCAAGTCAGAGAGGGCAAGATTGAGTAGATAAATATCCGTCATAGTTCTCAACCTCTTGTATTTGAACAGTACCAAGAGGACAAGGGTGTTTCCTGCCAAACCAAGGAGGAACACTAATGAATAAAATGTGGGAAGGAACCAAGAACTAAATCTTCTCACTTCGTCTTTGATGCATGGTTCAGGACTATCTTCATAATTATCCTCATATGAAGAATATAGTTGGTATCCCATGGTGGTGGCAGCAGCAGCAGAAGTAAAGGTCATTCTCTTTTTGAAACCTAAACAGAAGAATTAAATCATCAGAAATGCATCCAAAAACATTTTATTCAAAGTGACTGAGACTGCATTCCCATGCACAATTCTCTGACAGTAACTCCTGTTGATCTCTGTAAGATTTACTTCAGAATTTTAAAAACTTAATAGAATATGAATGCAGAGTTGAAGCATAAAGTCCCAGGCAGCTAATTTTCCAGGAGTACCTCAGGATTTGAGAAAGATGTGAAGACAAATGTATTTTATGGGTTACAACCCACTTCTTCAGATACATGGAGTATTGTCATGTGACTTATTTACAAAAACAGTGTATGTATGGATGTGTGTGTGATTGTAAACAGTGAAGTCAGAGGAAATTGAGATGCAGAAAGTACAGAGTACTCCCAGTACCAACACCTTCTCCCCAAGTGTGCTTTATCAAGAATATTATAAGACTTATTATAACATCACTTCTCTTCCAGTGAGATATATACTATCATTTGTCAAAAGTGCCCTACTGTGCTCCACATAGGAGAAATAGATCAATCACCACTAGCGTGGCCATGTGTACCTTCACTGGTATTTCAGCAAGTAAGGCCTGTTTGCATGATAAGCTATAATTACTGAAATTCCCTTTTAGACACAACTTTTAAAGGCACCAAAACCCGGTTCTCTTTTGCTTCTGGCCATCCTCACTGCTTCTTACCTTATTTGCCCTATGCCCTATAGTCTGGTCTGTAATAAGCATGTTTCATCTTTAAGATGCCACAAGTCCTTTGTCCTTTTGAGCAAGATGGTACGAGAAGGACTCCCATTTTCCAACACATAGTTTTGCATCTTTCCAGAGTTCCAGATATTTAGCTTTCTCCATCAGAGAGGTCTGGTGCCACAACAAATTATAAACCCCATGATTCCATAGCATTGAGCCATGGCAGTTAAAGCAATGTCAAACTGCATTAATTCTGCAGGGTGACAGTAGCCTTTGATCCTTTCTGACACCCTTATCAGTGGGTTTTCCCCCCAATAGGAGTCAATGGATCCTATCTTTTGTTGTTGTTAACTGCCCTTGAGTTGATCTCAACTCATGGCGGCC